CCCCCACGCCCGTCATGCCTCACTTTCCTTTCCGACCACCGGATCCGCATGTTTGCCGGTCTCTCCGCACTGGGCAATAACAACCCTGAGGTTACCTGCAACTAATTTATCGTGCTTTTTCTCCACTGTATTATTATTATTATTATTATTATTATTATTATTATTATTATTATTATTATTATTACTATTATTATTATCATCATCATCATTAATAGTAATAGTATTATTATTAATAGTAGGAAAAGTAGGATGTCAAACATATGTTTGAATGTATATGAACAATGGCTGTTCGAATGGAGTTATTTGGAAGAGTGGAGGTGCCTCTAAGAATAATGACAATGGAGCCGAAAAAGAGCCTTGCTCTCGCTCGAAGATTTCTTCGTGAAGTCCACCGGGCCCATTAAGGAAAACAAAATTATCATCATTATCATCATCACAATTATTAACTTCATTATTGTTAAGATTAATTTTACCGAGAAGACCCGAGAAGACCCAAAAAGACCCGAGAAGACCCGAAAAGACAGCTGAAAAGACCCAAAAAGACACATAAAGACACTAAATGGCCTGAAAAAACATATATGATTTATTTATTTATTGTTTATTTATTTGTTGTTTATTTATTATGTCTTTTCGGGTCATTTATATATGATTTATTTATTTATTGTTTATTTATTTGTTGTTTATTTATTATGTCTTTTCGGGTCATTTAGTGTCATATATATATATATATATATATATATATATATATATATAATATTTTGTAATTTCTCAGGAGTACCTTGGCTCTCTCAATACATCTTTTCCATGGCGTACCTTTTCTTTTATAGCCTGGGTATTTGGTGTTATAAGCACTCGAGGCTGGCTGACATGGTGACATCCGTAAGAAGTGTCCAAACCATAATTTTATTTTATTCTTTGCTTTTTCTATGAAATGCAGACAGGACCCTGTGCCGACAGCTGTTATTACTTCTTCATTTCTCTGTTTATCTCTTCTTGTGATGTTTAGGATTGCGTGGACACAGGATATTACCCTGAGTCCGAGGACGCTCGGTTATATTATGTTCAAGGAGTCGAGGTATTTTGTTGAAATTTATTTTTAAAAAATATAATAAGAATCGTTCTTTTTCTAGGAGTCTCAGTAGGTTCAAGGTAAAGCCATTCGTCACCAGGCAGAGTACATTGGTATGGATATCTGGATACCTGGAGGTGTCATCTCTGACTCAGAGGCTGGCGCGTAATAAACCTCCATCCTTCAAGATGTCGAGCTGCCGTTTTACATTCTGCCATATCTAGGCTAGTCCATGTTTTTATGTTGTCCATCCAAGTTACTCTTTGTCTCCCACTGGCCCCTGGCTCTTCTGCCTTCTTCAAGCACCTCTTTCACAATGGCAGCTGGGTTAATTCTAGTCAGTTATTCCCTTAAGATTTAGTAAGAGTTTTACTGCACTTGCAACACAATAAGGTCATATAAGAGCCTTGGATTAGCGTTGTTTCAAGAGAGTAACAAACTCAAAAAGAAGGAGAGATAAGGACGACAGGTGTTTGATAGAAAAAATAAGCAATACTACACCAGAACATCCACCAACCAACAGCTGATATTTTGTAATGCGGCAGCAATAAAATCCCACCGACAACGGAGGTGTTGTGTTTAGGATTGAATTACCAACCTGTGCCGGGCGAAAACATTTTGTGGTTTCTCAATGGATGTATGGCGACATCAAATCAACATTGGGGAAACTTCATTAGAGAGCGAGGGCGAGCGAGCGATATATATATATATATATATATATATATATATATATATAGAGAGAGAGAGAGAGAGAGAGAGAGAGAGAGATGTATGTAGTATAGAGAGAGGGAGATAGATAGATAGATAGATAGATAGATAGATAGATAGATAGATAGATAGATAGATAGATAGATAGAGACAGAGAGAGAGACAGAGAGAGAGAGATAAAGATAGAGAAAGAGAGAGAGAGAGAGAGAGAGAGAGAGAGAGAGAGAGAGAGAGAGAGAGAGAGAGAGAGAGAGAGAGAGAAAATGGTACAGACCGGCGGAGCGACACACCCACTAAGGACCCTGAGATCTGAAATGCTCTGTGGCCGTTTGACCCCGGCCACTCTAACAAAGGAGTAATGCCCTGTGTGTCCACAGGATTAAGACTTGGTCTTATGCATGAGGGACTTGTTTGCTGACATACTTTCACAAACTTACAAAAGTTTATTCTAACATGGCCCCATTCAAGGACGTAGGGTTTTATTTCGTACTTATTTCTTCGTCAGTGGGATATTCTGAAATCATGTGAAAACCATGCGCATTTTGTAGCAAAATATTGTGTCCCGTTAGGTGTTCTAATTTGTTGCCACGTAGTATCTTTTCAGAGAACTGGCGGTTCGTTGTCCACCCCCCCCCCGCCCCCATTTCTTCTCCGTCAAAACTTTCATTTTTTTACCTATTCTTTTCACCGCTCCTTATGAGATAGTTATTTTTATTATATTTATTTCAATAAATCTCATAGATATACCTGGGTCCTCGGCTCGTGACATTCTTCCCCCGCTTTTAAGTTTCAATAGGAGATAACAAGGAAACTAAGACGCCGTATGTGTATGTCTTTCTGAGCCCCTTTCGTCGGCGCAACTTTTTGCTATTTGATCTGTCGTCTAGATTTCTAACGCACTAGCAGATATGCAAATATAACACT